ACCCGGTTGAAGCTTGCACAGGTATATTACAATTTTTGTGCATATACAAGCACTTTACGTTCAATAGAATTGGCTTTTCTACTTCATCAGGACTGGACCCTATCATGTTTAGGTTTATTCCCTCTATTCTATGATAGATAGATAGATAGATAGATAGATGGATGGATGGATGGATGGATGGATGGATGGATGGATGGATGGATGGATAGATAGATAGATAGATAGATAGATAGATAGATAGATAGATAGATAGATAGAGACAGACAGACACGGTTGAAGCTTGCACAGGTATATTACAATTTTGGGCGCATAGTAAGCACTTTACATTCAATAGAATTGGCTTTTTTGCTTCATCAGGACTGAACCCTATCATGTTTGGGTTTATTCCCTCTACTCTAAGATAGATAGATAGATAGATAGATAGATAGATAGATAGATAGATAGATAGATAGATAGATAGATAGATAGATAGAGATAGATAGGGAGATAGACAGACAGATACGGTTGAAGCTTGCACTGGTATATTATAATTTTTGTGCGTACACAAATGCTTTAAATAGAATTGGCTTTTCTGCTTCAACAGGACCGAACCCTGTCATGTTTGGGTTTATTCCCTCTACTCTAAGATAGATAGATAGATAGATAGATAGATAGATAGATAGATAGGGAGATAGGGAGATACGGTTGAAGCTTGCACTGGTATATTACAATTTTTGCGCGTACACAAGTGCTTTACATTAAATAGATTTGGCTTTTCTGCTTCAACATGACTGAACGCTATCATCTTTAGGTTTACTTCTTCTACTCTAAGATAGATAGATATACAGACAGATAGACATTCTATCAAAGTTTGCTTTGGTATGTTACTGTTTTTGATGCATATGCAAGTGCTTTACATTCGGTGGAATTGGCTTCTCTACTTCCTTGGGATTGAACCCTATTATGTAGGAAAAAACAAGCATGCAAAGTAAATAGGAGATGTAAACAAAGTGCCTCTTATGTTATGCCAGATTGAAACTTGTAAGGAGCTGCAAAGACATGTAAAAGATATGCTAAGTTCGTGAACACACACCATGTTCAACTAGGGCGAAATCAGCTTGGTTTGCAACACAATAGTTTCACCAAAATTTCTATGCCAAATAAAGTCAGGAACAGGCCTGGGCAAACTTAGGCCCTCCAGGTGTTTTGGACTTCAACTCCCAAATTCCTAACAGCCTGCCTTAAGCCCATTTAATTGAAAAATGTTTCTGTTCCTGTTTTGAAAATGTTATTTCCTGTTCAATTGTGTGGTACTTATTCCAGAAACTTTGTTTTTTGTGGCCCAAACTATGTTTGGGCCACATAGTTTGGACGCTATGGTGAGATATTCATTGAAAAACTATAGTAAAATGTGCTGCAGGATGTCCTTTCTGCAAAAGCAAAGGTTTAGTGGTTTAATAAACCTTTTACCGTGTTTTTTTGGTAGAACCAGTTAGGAAATGACATTTATAATCGTGTTACATAGTGTTACATATATATACTCAGAAACAACGAAGAGTATTTAATTTAGCATAACATCAAATTGCATCATACTCATTTTAGACCCAGCACCTTTGTGGATTTGTTGATCATTGGCTTTTGCTCCCCTTCTGACATCTAACTTGTGATTTCATGAAAAGTGTATCTCTCTTTCCATTAACAATTTGTTTGGGGGTAAAGATAAAGGTAAAGATTTCCCCTTAACATTAAATCTAGTGAAGTCCAACTCTGGGGGGTGGTGCTCATCTCCATCTCTAAGCCGAAGAGCCGGCGTTGTCCGTAGACGCCTCCAAGGTCATGTGGTCAGTATGACTGCATGGATCGCTGTTACTTTCCCACCAAAACGGTACCTATTGATCTCACATTTGCATGTTTTCAAACTGCAAGGTTGGCAGAGGCTGAGGCTAACAACAGGAGCTCACCCCTTCTGGTCAGCAAGTTCTGCAACTTAGTGGTTTAATCCACTGCACCCCTTATGTTTTGGGGTATTGTTAGCAAAAAAACAACAACAGTGTTCTAGAGAAGGGCTTCATAAACTTTTCCCACTCATGACGCCTTTCTGTCTGAGAATTTTTTCCATGACTCCAGGTATATATTTGTATAAAATACATATAAAAATCAAACATTTACTGCGAATAAATCAGCATTTGCAAGGCTGGCTAGCACTCTGGTTTCCCTCTTTATGGAGTGCAGCTGAAGCATTTTCTGCAGGGTCCACTGAAAACACTGCTTGTTCTTGCTGTTTTGTGTAAATGGGTGGCATTCAGAAGCCCTTTACTGCTGACATTTTTTGTGTGACCCTAACATTGAGCCAAATGGCATTTAGGGTCAGAACCAACCGTTTGAGGAGCCGTGTTCTAGAATGCACCAGATTTGTATCTTGCGATTTTTTTTCTTTTGAGTTGTAGTGTTCCCAACCTTTGGGCCTCCAGGTGTTTTGGACTTCAACTCCCAGAAATCCTAGCCAGGCTTACCAGCTGTTAGGAACTGTGGGAGTTGAAGTCCAAAATACCTGGAGGCCCAAAGGTTGGGAACCACTAGGTTATACGAAAACACAGAAATAATCTGATTAGGTTTTGTCTGAATGAAATGTGATAATTAATAATTTGATCCATTCACAAGTGGTTGCCTTGTAAAATTCACCAGTGGTTGCCTTGCAAAGCTTCAGTTCTTCTGCGTCAGCTTGCTGTAAATTGCAAATAAATGTGCTATCTTGGCCGTATAATAACATTCATAACACAGATAAAACAAGACTAAGGGTGAACCAAGAAAAATAGGTCACAACTAAGGAAGTGAAGCTTTTTTAAAGTACCACCAGTTCAAGCAGGTGCATTTAAAGATAAATCATCGGTATAGGTTGAGCGTCTCTTATCTGGAATTCTCCAGTCTGAAATACTCCAAAATCAACAATTGTCCACATGGATGCCTGAGATAGTGACACCTTTGACTTCTGATGGTTCAATGTACACAAACTGTATGTCATGCATAAACTTATTATTTAAAATATTGTATAAAATGACCTTCAGGCTATGTGTATAAGCCAGGTCTATGTGAAATATAAATGAATTTTGTATTTAGACTGCAAGATATCCAATTATGTATGCATATGCAAATACAGGTATTCCAAAATCCCACAAAAACTGAAATTCAAAACATGCCCTTTCCTAAACATTTCAGGTAAGGAATGCTCAACCTATACCTTAAACAAGAGGAAAAAGATTTAGGAAAGAAATACTGGTCTCAGTTCATGTAACTCTCCCATTCCCACCCTCCACCAATATTGGAAGACTAACCATCACTTCCCGCTAGAAGCACATTTGGATTTTTTTCCAGATCATCTCTTTAATATAATTTTTATTTCTTTTTTATTGTTCCCCATCCCCCCCTTTAAATACACAACAGAAAGACATTTTCCCTTCTCCCCATTTGGGGTGTAAAGTTGTGGGGAGAAGGGGGTTCTGAGGAAAACAGGGTGGTCCAGAGGGCGAGCCGCTGAAGAACCCCATCCCTCTTTAACACCCCATATGTAGTTCGTTTGGTTATTTAAGTGCGGCTTTTTCTTTAACCCCTTTTTCTACCCCACAGGTTTCCACTTTCATCAACTTCTTAAAATTCATGTCCATCTTGGTTGGTTTGGGAGGGCATCAAAACACGTAATGGGAAGGAATGAAAAGAACAGGAAAAGGAACCCCAAAAAGAACTGACACAAAGAGGAAGGGGAAATGTAAAGGGTTGACTTTTTTCTTCTTCATCATCTTATGTCTTTTTTCTTTTAAAAAAATTATTTCCAGTTTGCTTTTTATTATTCCTTTTTTGTTGGTGGGTAGTCTCTCTCTCACTGTTGGTTTTCATATTTTTTTGGTTATTGTATAGAAGTTTTTTAAGAGCTTTGGATTCATAAAGAGGGTTTTTTGTGGTTTTTTTCTTTTTTTCTTTCTTTTTTCTTTTTTGCAAGGACGTCGGCACACGACGCATGGCTGTGTGTGCATGACGGGAGGATCCTTCTGGTTTTCAGGTTTTTTTTTAAAGCCATTGGAGTAGGTTTTGTGTCGTTTCCCGCACAGAGACGGAAGTCACGTCTATCAGGAGGAAAAAGACAGCGAGGTTGTCGGTTTTATTTGGTTCCCCGGGGCAGGTAAAGACCCAACTGGGGAGGAGGAGGAGGAGGAGGAGGAGAGAGAGGAAAAAAGAAGTGGTGGGAAAGAAGAAAGCAATGCCTTTTTCTTTCCCTGTTTGGTTGCTGTTCAAGTCGTTCAAATCCATCAACAGTTCGGGAGTCTGTCCATCCATCCTTGATGGTCATTTTTATACACAATGGGCAGCGCATGCTCTGGGAGGGGTGGGGGATGGGGAGGGGGGACTCAGTTTCTTATCTTTGCCCCCCACCCTCCCCTAAGTTTTGTCTCCTTGGGTTCATCATTTTCATTCTGTCCATACTTTTTGTTTGCTTTGCTTTTTTTTTGGCCTTCTTCAGTTTGAAACACAGTAAAAGGGTGGAAGGTGAGTGTGAGAGAGGGAGCTCTAACAGGTGTGTGTGTAAAAGAGAGAGAGAGAGGAGACTTGGGTGCACAAGGGTGTCGAGAGTGTGCCAGCTGCTGTTTCAAAGGAAGGTTTGAGCACACATGTGGCAAGAGAAGGGCTTTGGGCCACATGTGGCAATGTAAAGAGGGAAATGTGTAAGATGAGATTGAGTAATTTGAGAGCATTTCCATTGATGTGAGGAGGGATGGGGCAGCCTGGGAATACAAAAGGTGTAGGGAGGACTCACCTACAGGTGAGAAGCCCTAGGTATAGGGAACATGTGAGCGTAAAATGGCAGGGGTCATCTTGAGATCTTGGCAGAAATATCGAAAAGTTCTTCTAAGATGCAATGGGAGTCCTGAACAATAAGCAACTCTCACATGAGGTACATGTGTATGCCACAGGAGATGGAAGACTCTGGAATATACACTGATAAGCGAGAGGGAATGGATGAGAGCTGGCATCCATGCTGGATTGGGTCAGCTCTGGCGGTCCAAGTAGGATCCAGTTTTGGGAGGCAGGTTAGTTGGAGAGGTAGGGAATCAGGCTCAAGTGACACATGGGATAGTATATAGGATAGGGCAGATTAGTTTAGTTGGCAAGGATATGTGAGTTGGTGTGGGCAGTGTGTCAAAAGGATTTGCTTAGGTCAAGGAAAATAACTTCCATATTCTATACCAGGATTGGCATTCATGCAGCCGTTTTGGAGTTGTTGGACAGGCAAATCCCAGCGACCCTGGCCAGCACAGCTGGTAGTGAGGAATGCTGGGAAGTGCCCTCCAGCAAGGAGTCCCATTTCCTTCATCCAAGCCAATCCTACACCATAGAAAGAGCACAAGGCAGTTCTATATGGACAGACTGCATTCCTGTTCACCTCAAGGACCGGTGACAATCCTTCAAAATGAGCTGCACAAGATGTGCACACTTTGGAACAAAGAGTGGGGTCTGAGGTGAGTGTGATTGACTGGGATCAGCTCGAGTAGTTGGTGGGCTTCTATCTCTTGTATGTGCTGTTTGCTCTTCCTTGCTGGCAGTAAGAAAAGGGAGAGGTTGAGTTGGGTTTTGCGTGAGGGTTATTGGGTTTGGGCAGGGGTGGCACTTGAGTGGTGTCCACCCCACCACTAGCTGGTTCATTAGTCATTCTCTCTCAATGGTGGCAGTGTAGCATCCATCTCTATAAAGCTAGTAGTGTCGTAGAGGTAGCGTTACTTTTTGGGTTGGAGTCCGAGTGAGGTAATTTGGATTCCTCTTTGGCAAACACCGATGCGGTTGCTGCGTTGGATCCGGCCTTGCGCCGGTGAGCGCTGGAGCGCAGGTGGGCCCCCAGCGCCTCACGTCCACTCACAAGCACCTCACAGGCCAGGCAGTGGTAGGTGCACACGGGCACCCGCAGAGGAGGTGGGGCAGCTGGGGGCTGGCGCCCAAAGTAGCAGAAAGCAGCCTGGTGGGCAGCAGCTGCCCCTTCATTCTCAAAGGCTGCCTTGCACTGGCGACAAAGGTACTGGTGAGTCACGTCAACCGTAGAGATGCCAGGGGCCTCTGATACCTCCACAGGTGGCTCAGGCGTGGGCGTTGGGAGCAGGGGGCTGGGCAGCAGCCCCATAAGTGTCTGAGGTATGACAGGATTCATGGGAAAGAGCCCCTTCTTCATGCCATAAAGCTGCTGGAAGTAAGCCCCAGGCAGCTGGGCACCAAACAATGAGGGGGCTGCGGCTGTGGCTGCCGGCAAAGGGAAAGGCAGGAACTGGCCACCCAAGAGAGCTGGCACGGCAGCCTTTAACGTCTTGAGGTTCTTCAGTGTGGCAGTGGAGGACAAGGAGGGTTCCTGGGCTAGATTTGAAGAGGGGTCTGCCTGGGTGTCACTTGGGGCAGCCTCAGGAACAGGAGCAGGCTCTGTTGCAGGACCAAGCTGAGCCGGTTCTGGAGTAAGATGTTGAGGTAAGGGAGGGCCTGGCTGGCTGGCGGCCAAAGGGTTGCTCAGAACTCCAGAGGAAGGAGATGGACCTGTTGAAATGAGAGAGAGAGAGAAAGGTGTGAAATTACTGTCCTCTTAATTCCATCTGTTTTCACTCCCTTTTCTGGCCCCCACCTCCATCCCTTCTTCCGAGTAAAGGTCTAGGGCAGTGGTTCTCAACCTGTCGGTCCCCGGGCATTTTGGCCTACAACTCCCAGAAATCCCAGCCATTTTACCAGCTGTTAGGATTTCTGGAATTTGAAGTCCAAAACATCTGGGGACCCACAGGTTGAGAACCACTGGCTAGGGGCATAGTCAAGAGGGTACAGATAAACTACCTACCCTCCATAATCGAATACCTCCATCTAACAGCTATCATCGAGTTTTATTTCTTGGAAAGGATACATCTGGAACTCTTGGTGAGCTGGTGCAGACAGAAGTGGCAGAGGATGACGATCCTATACTATTTTCAACTTAAGAGTCTCCCCTGACTCACTGACCACAACAGAAATCTTGAGAGTTGGAAACGGTAAAAGAGATGCTAGTGAGAAGATGAAGGCAAGATGGAAGGAAAGTTTGGAGAACTGCAGCTTGGAATAAAAGGGATACAAGCATGTGGCCTGCAACGGAAACCTCCACTGAAAATGACTGAGTGGTAAAACTGTATGAAGGAAACGAGATATCATGCCCCTGTGGAAGAAGATAGAGCCTTGGGTTTCTACTCTTGGATGTAACATACCTTACCTTTTCTTTACTGCTCACTCACCTGGCACAAAGGGTGCCATGCTTCCCAGGGAAGATGACACGGTGGTGGGAGGCACTGAGGTGCCCAACCTGGTTGGAGATGGTGTCCCTTTGTCTGGCACAAACTCATAGCACTTGCTCTCATTCTTGAGCTGGGCCTTGATAGCTTCCTTGAGGCGGGCAAGATGGCCCCTGGAGAAGAGGTGTCCACGGCAAGACACATAAAAATCATACTTGATTTCACAGTAGGAGCACTCAGACTGAGCCTGAGCATTGGGGGGGCCTTCATCACCAGTGGCTGCTTTAGCCTTTTTCTCCTTTGCCCTGGCATTCTGAAACCAGACCTGGATTACCCGCTTGGGCAACCCTATCTCCTCACCTAACACCTCACACTCCTGCATGGTGGGAGTTCGATAGGCCTCGTAGCAAGCCTTCATGATCTTCAACTGGACGCTGGACATCTGTGTCCGATACCGGCGCTGGCCCAAAGAGTCATGCATTCCTCCAGAACCACCATCCATTCCTCGACTCCGCCGGCTACTGGAGAAATCCAGATCAGTCAATGAGGATGAGGATGAGGACGAGTCACTTAGCTCCCCTCCTGACAGGCTCCGATCTTCATTCTCCTTGGGCATCTCTTCTTCGGCTGCTTCTTCCGGTATGTTTAGATCAGCAGGAACTTCGGGCTTGGCTAGTGGCAGCTGCAAGCTCACCACAGGGAGGCTGGAGGTGAACGAAGCTCCATAATGGGTAGATGGATCTCGTGGTGAAGGGCTGAATTTTGGGAAAGCAGTGGGGAGCGCTGGTGAAGGCTTACTGTTTGGAATAGTGGTGCTGGTGTTACACCGAAATTGGCCCTTCCTCTCACGGGCTCTTGTATTCTGGAACCACACTTGGACTACCCTCTTTTTGAGCCCAACTTCTTCAGAAATACAGTCGAGCATCTTCCGAGTTGGATTGGAGTCCTGCATGTACCAGCGGAACAGAATCTCCAACTGCTCTGGCAAAATGGTGGTGCGCAGGCGCTTGTCCCGGGGGGGCTCGCTATCCCCACCTGCCATACTGGCACATTCACTCCCCGTGGGTGACAAACTCCCATCCTCATGCTTCCGCTTTTGTGCCCGAGATGAATCTGGGTAGGCGGTACGTTCGCAATAAGCTAGGGGTGGCAAATCTAGGGAAGGGGGAGGGCCACTGGTAGATGGAGGAGGAGCAGTTGCTGGCATATGACTGGTACGGTGGACACTTAAAAGGTCAGTGCTTGAAAAAGTAGCTGGGCACTGATCACACATATGGTTGCTTGAAACTTCTGGTAGATCGGCTGGGGTTGGCTGTTCCTCCTCTGGGACTTTTTCTTCTGTATCATCTGTCTTAGTTTCCCCCTCTGTACCTGAAGGCTCCTGCTTTTCTTTTTCTTTTTCCTTTTCCTTTTCCTTTTCATCTTCCTCTTCCTCTTCCTCCTCCTGTTCTTCATTCTCAGGGCCCTCATTATCTTCCTCCACTCCATATCCATCTCCTTCTGCAGGCTGGTCATTGTAGCATTTTTTGAGGTGGCGCACAAGCTCAAAGATGCAGCGGAAGGATATCCGGCACTTCTTGCAGGTAGGCTGTGTGTTAAGACTTCCACTGACCATGCCAGCTTCACCTCCACACTTTCGGGCCTTCTGGCGGGCATTTTGGAACCAAACCACAATGACGCGATTGGGCAAGCCCAAGAGTGCTGACAGTCGCTCAACCTCCCCATCTTTTGGGTAAGCACTGGACTCAAAGAAGGACTGCAAAGCCTGAGACTGGAACTCAGTGAATTTGGTACGAGAAAAGCGCCGGGTTGTTGGGAAACTTGTCCGAGATGGATCCAGCACTGCAGAGGCACTGCCACCTTGCTCCTCTTCCCCTCGAAACCATAGAGACTTCAAGTGTTCAGGAGACACACGGGGGGTTTCAACTTCTGGTTGTGGGACCACCACAGGCATGGGTTGCATTATAAAAGGAGGACAGAGGGAGGGAATCTCCTGGGGTATGGGAGCTGGCGTAACAGTGACTGTGTTAGTCTCTGTTGGGGTGGTGTTTGCAGTGGTTGTAGTGGCGGAAGAAGAAGTAGCGGTGGTAGTTTCAATGGGTAGTACTGGAGGCAGGGGCGGATACATGCTGTCATAACTTTTCCGAAACTGCACAGCATAGCGATTAAGTGCCTCAAAAGGAAGGAACCGCCGATGGACATGCTCTTCATGTGTTTTTAGGATCAGCATGTTGGAGAACTGTTTCCCACATGTACCACATTGCAGCTTGGCCACTGGAGGACGTGGGGCAATGGCTGGAGCAACTGTGGCAGGCTGCTTGCCTTCGTTGTACTGGATGACAAGCTCAAAGCCAAAATTTTCCAGAAGGGCTTTGGCTGCTGTGCGGGATGCCTCATTTCCTGGCTGACTCCCCTCCACCTCCTCCACTTCAGCTTCTTCAGTTGGTTCAGGTTTAGGGTTGTTGGCAGTGGCTGGTGCTTGCTCTTCCTTGGTTGGCATGGATGGCAGCAACACAGGTGGGGTGGTTGGGAGAGTCAGTGCTGGGGCTGCCAAAGCCAGCTTAGGGGCCACCTTCAGATCATGTAAATAAAAGGGTAGCAGGAGTTGCTGCTGCTGCTGGAGTTTTAAGAGAGACTCTGGTACCAATGGAAAGGGTGGAAGCAGCGGTGGTGTAAATATGGGTGTGGGGAAACGTTGTAGTTCTGCTGTAGATGGTGCCAAAAATGGAAGTGCTGGTACCTGCACGCAGTTGGGGACCTCGGTTTCCAATGGTGTCTCATTTAGGTGTTCTGATTCAGTGGGCGGCAGTTCTGCTTTGCCAGCAGCTTCCATCTTGGCTACACGGGACCGGGTCTGGTGCAGAACTGACCTCATGTGGATCTCCAAAGTAGAACTTTGATTGTACGAGACCCGGCAAGTGGTACACTTGTAGGGCTTGTCTGAGGATGGCTGGAGAGCCCCTGGTGTGCCCGACTCACCCCGGGATGGCGCTGAAGGATCGGCCGAGGCCTTCTTCATCTTGTGTAGGTGGGAGACAGAGTTGTAGTGCACCAAGAGAATGTTCTTCTGAGTGAAGGATTCCTTGCATACCGTACATTTGTATGGACGGGCAGGATCTAAGAACTTATCTAAGGCAAAATTGGTTGCCTTGCGGTAGGAAAGGGGATGCCGGGGATCTTGGCTGAGAGGAGTAAGCAGCGAGACATCAGGAATTTCAGATTGAACCTGCAATGGCAGCAGCTGCTCCTCAGGTGAAGCATTTGACCGAGAAGGGTCTTCATCTTCAGGTTCTGGAGGAACAACTGGAGGAGGTGGTGGAGGAGGAGGAGGTGGAGGTGGTGGAGGTGGTGGTGAAGAGACGGGAGGTGGTTTTTCTAGTGGATCTGCAGGTAAAGCAGGGGAAGAGGCAGGAGCAGGAGGGGATCCAGGGCAAAGCACAGGAGCTGGAGGGGTCTTCTCCTGCACAGTTGGTGCTGATGAAGGAGGGGGAGGGGGGTGGAAGAGAGAGAGAGACAGAGAGACACAGAGAGAGAAAAGATAGTTAGGTACACTTAAAGTGTTGGTGTTGGATACCCATGTTGGCCTGCTGCTGGAAAACAACAGCAAAGAGTTGAATCACACATTAAAGATTGATTAGTAATTGTGTAATAATCTAGATGTGGTAGATATGAATCTCTATAATGTTATCTCTAGCTATCTCTAGGTCCTCCAGTATAACTCTATGGTCAAGCTTCCATCCTTAACCCATCCAGAGTTTGTGACATGTAGAAACGTTAAAAGTTCGGTAGGTTACTGCATTTGCAAACAGATTGTACTGTTATTATACTTAGCCTCTGATATTGATGGGTGCCTGGTACTATACTGGGTTTCCTGCCACTGCATCCTAAGTATTGTGAATTTTCATTTTCAAACTAGTAAACAAAATGTCTAGCTTTTATGACTCCAAATGGTTAGGTGGTGGTGGGAAAACCTAAGAAAAAGCTCCACAAAATGCAAACAGAATCTATTGTTCAGCTTTACTACAGCTGCACTTCCTGCTTTCTTCGAACAAAGGAATAACTAGGGTGCCAAGCTACACGTTCTGAACCAAATTGAGTATCAATAGGGCAAAGCAAACTAATGAATGCTGCCATCTTGACTAAATGATAGAAATGCTGCTTACCAACAAGGGGACTCTTGGGTTCATTTCCAGGCCCTTGCTCTGAGCTGGGTGTCCCACTTGACTTTGGTGGATCAGGAGAGATGCTGCGGCCAGGAATAACTTTGGTGGCAAAGGTCATTTCCACTGTGGTGGCCTAGAGGTTGAATGAAAATAAAGATACATAGCAGAATTAGAGAAGAAACATACCTGCTCCTACATACAATGGCTGTAATTGAATTTTTTATAAAGTTATGAAGTTACAAAAGCTGCAGTGACCATTTCATGAATGGCAGAGCAGCAGTTGAGGAACCTCTCTTCGTGTGAGCAGAGGTATCTTGTACCAAGATTATAACTCATGCAATTCTATCCTGGTGTTCTATTTCCTTTCCAATCAGTGCTGAGATTAACCTCTGTTTTTTTTTTCCAATTCTGCCCATCTTTGTCTGCCAAGAGCTTATTTAGCAGTAGGACAAGAAGACATTCATCAAGCCAAGTTTCCTCCATCGTTCCATGAAAGGAAGAACTTCATTTCCTGAATTAACTGGCAAAACAGGCTCTCCAGGTGACTTTGAACTACAACTCCCATCATTACTGGCCACACTGGCAGGGGCTGATGAGATACCAAGATCAATCTCATCTGGGAAGGTCACTGGTCCCCAGTTGTATAAAAGAAGCACTGGAATCCAAAAGAGAAGCAATGCCATTCAATCCCAGTCATTTTACTTCCTTCTGAAAAATCATCCAGTAAGCTCACTCACCACCAGCAGCAGCTTTTCTACACATTCAGGCACCACATTGTGAATGTGACTGAGGTGAAAGTGGAGGTTGGTGCGGCCCACCAGCTGCTCCTGGCACAGTGGGCAACGGAACTTGGGCTGCACAGCATGCTGGGAAATGGTGTGGGCCCGCACAGCTTCGGTGGACTGGTCGACATAGTTGCAGTATGGACAGCAGAACACCTGGTTTCCAGGAGAAGTTAAGGAGAGGTAAGATATAGGAAGAAAAGTAAGCATCAGTTCCAGTAGGTCCAACTACCTTGCTTCTGGCCCAAACTTTCCCAATCATCTAATCTATAAGATTATGAATAATCCAAAAGAGTCAGAACCGGAAAGAACAAGAGAGATAGCATGCAAGCACATCTTGAGTCATTGTTTTTAAAAGGGAGCACATTAATGTTGGCCATTATTTCTGTAAACGTTGTGAGGGACACAATGGCAGTGTGTTATTAACTCATTACTTTTGCATTTAAAACTTAACAATACTTTATTCCCCAAACCTTTAAAATGACCTAAAATGCCCACTCAAGTTTCAGAAGTATTGACATTTAACAGATCTAGTCCTCCCAAAGTTGCAAGTTATAGGTAAAATTATAGGTAAAGCATTACTTCCAAACACTTTGGTAGGTAGGTAGGTAGGTAGGTAGGTAGGTAGGTAGATAGATAGATAGATAGATAGATAGATAGATAGATAGATAGGTAGGTAGGTAGGTAGGTAGGTAGATAGATAGATAGATAGATAGCACTGAGATTTTTAAGGCCACTCCACTCTATTTGAAATGAGTGGATGGGTGGCAGCATTTTTCCTACAATGGCTATTCAAGCAAGACTGCTTCAGAGTCATGAAGGCAATTGTCCAGATGGTCCCCTAACTCAACGCAGTTCCTCCACCCACCCAGTGCCATTCTGCTCCACTCACAGTAGTATCGCCCACACCTCCAGCTTTTGTTTCAGCTCCACTGGAACCTGCAAAAAAGGGAGCAGAGTGGGAAGAGAAAGAAAGGATGTACTGCATCTCTGATACACAACAACTAAGCATCTTTACATCACCAGAAGCCTGGAAAGGTGTGTAGAGAGGGCCCTAAGGGTGACTGTGGGACACAAGTCTTTTGGGATGTGGTGGGAGAGGAGACATTAGTCAGGTGGATGGAGAGGACAAGTGCAGACAAGACAAAGGAGTGTGCTGTGCGACCATGCCCACGGAGAGGAGTACCCTTACAAGATGGCATGCAAGAGGGGAAGAGCAACTCACCAGGCGTCCGATTTTGACTCTGCAATTCTTTTTCAGGGGATGAGATGTCAGGTGTGGTTTCCTTCCCTAGAAATGGGAGAAAATCCAAAGAAAATGAGAGGGGATGTTACTAGCTTCTGGCCACCTCCAATGTTTAGAAGGAAACTTTTTTTTAAAAAAGTCCTAGCCTCCCCCCCCCCCCCCCCCCCACCACAGATAGGTTACATTTCTGCCTTCTCATTCCTATAGTACTCTTTCGGAAGGCTTGAAGCCAAAAAGTTCAGAAAAATTGAAAGGAAGACGGGGCGAAATAGAGGGAATTCCACCGCCAATGTTGTGGAAGTCGGAATGACGCACGATCCAGGACTTTATCCTCGTCAGAGACTAATTAAACTCTCAACCCAAGTGGGATCGTTAATATCGAACGGGCTCGCCTCCCCGCCTGGTAGGAGCAACCTCACTGCCATTGGCAACTCAATTAACACTATTCAATACACCCGCCAAGATGCTAAGACCTCCATTTCTCACAACTCAGGGTGCACCCTCCCCCAATGCTTCTTCTACTGTAGTTGTAGCTTCCCCAAATCTCTTCCTATAAGCCCTTCATACCCCTTCTCTACAGGACCACCACCACCCGGTTTCCCCACATTTCTGCCATGGTGTATCCAAATTCCCCATCCCTATCTTCTCTGTCACCAAGCTTTCACGAAATCACTCTCAAACTATAACCAAAGACCTCAGTACCCTATTCCTCTCTCTCTGTCCCTTGACTGACATCAGGTCCTGGCCTGTTGTCACCCCCAACAAACTCCAGACATAGCCCCTCTCCCATATTCTATTATAAACATGATCCTTATTGACTTCTGCATGCAGGTAGGAATGGAGGGTCAATGGTGTTTGAAGAGATAAATTGAAGCTGGGAACAGGGCCAACTGGCATCGCTTGGACGGGCGTCCCCTCGGGCACAGGAGACAAGAGGTGGGGGGGGAGGCAGCTACCATCTGGGGGAGGAGGGAAGGAAAGGAAGAGCGAGAAAAATAGAGAGAAATCTATCTTTCCTCCTTACGTCCCCCCCCCCCCCCACAACCGCTTATGGTCCCTACATCTCTCTCATTTCTCTTCTCCTTCATTCTTCCTGCAGGTTGCTAGGCAACCACCCCAGTATCTGTCATAATCCATTATGAGGGGGGGGGGGGGGGGTGGAGGCGGGAGGGAGGGAGAGGTTGGCGGCGGTTGTGGAAGAGGAAGGAAGGAGGACGACGGAAGGCATTCAGCTGCTTCGCGCTTCACTATTCACAGACACAGGCTTATATTAAACAGAGAGCAAAGGGGAAGCCAGGGTCAGGGTGGGGTGGCAAATGGAAGGATGGCAGAATACGTGGCACCATCTCCGATCCTCTTGCACCCCCACCCAAGTGGACTGTGCTAGCCACCATCTTGGCAAAATTGTGCCTTCATTGGTTAGCTTTGGAAGCCTTCTTTTCAATGTCTCAGAGATTTCTGTACATATCATTCTCCGCTGAAAACCTGCAGCCTGCCTCCTTCCATGTTTTTTTTAAGAGCTCCTAAAATAATCACCGCCACTGATGGACGTGGGCGTCTGTGTTGCCTTCAATGGCCGACCTGCAGGCTCACTACTGGTGGAGTTCACAGGAGCAAAGCAGATGTATCTCTCCAGGCCCGGAGCATTTTCACCATTCTGAAGAAGCTGGAGGCGCCACTGGCCATGGGCATCCCGATGTTGGGGGGAGCGAAGGTGTTGGATCATCATTAGGCGGTTCGGAGCATCCGTGTTACAGAGGAGGCAGTGGAATTGGGCCGATTCGGGTCCTGCTGTGGATGGAGCCGACGTCGCCTCCATTTCCAGAAGGAACTGGTGGTAGAAACCAAAAAAGCTGCAGCCAGCAAGGACATCCACTACCGCTATCCTACAAAGAACTGCACCCCTTGGTATCTTCTTGGTTCCCCTTTATGATTTTTATTAAGATTTTAAATAAATCATCAAATGCTTTGTTATATAAATATAAACAAAGAAACAAAGAAGAGAGAAAATAGAAGAGAAGGGAAATAGGTACAAATAAAAAGGAATCTGGATAGAACAAAAAAGAAAGAAAAAGGAAAAATGACTTCCAATCTTCTCTTCAGCCATTGTTGAAGTACAGGTTGAGTATCCATTATCCAAAAGGCTTGGGACCAAAAATGTCAGATGTTCTTGGGTAATGCTATCATGAACCACCATCAACTTTGACGCATTAAAGAAATCCCAAGGCGGAGTATTGTTTATCAAAAATGCTTGGAAACAAGTGTTTTGGATTTTGGAATTATTTTTGTTTTTGGATTTTGGAATTTCTAGATTTCCATATATCTACTTAATGAGATATCTTGGAGGTGGGACTCAAATCCAAGCATGAAATTCACTTGTGTTTCATATATATCTTACACACATATCCTGAATGGCATTTTATGCACAATATTTTAGTCATTTTGTGCATGAAAACACATTGATGTACACTGAACCATTAAAAAACACAAATGTCACTATCTCAGCCACCCAACTGGAGAATTTTGGAAGATTTCAGGATTCTGGATAAGGGATGCTCAATGCCTATATAATCAGTCCATACCTCTCTCAACAATCTCTTAAGGATTTCTTGAAACCTTGTTACAAAAAATTACAAAAGAATTACAAAATTACAAAAGAATTACAAAAAAGGACCAGAAAACACAGCGAATCCAACATCTCTTCCCATTCAGGAATCTGTCCAGTTCATCTTTTTCACTTGATAACACTCATAAATCTTTAAGCACCTTCTCTAAGCTTCCTCAGGACAACAAATGTGGTTTCATCATTTCTTGAGTACCATTTTTGTTATCCTTAAGCCCCACCCACTCCACTGGACCCCACCTCCCCTAACGCCATACCTTGTAACCTTGCAGTGCCTCCTGGTGCCCAGCGCCAGCCACATGCAACCGCATCTTCTCCTTGCTGTTGGTCTCATATTCACAGAGGTTGCAATGCAAATGAAGGGGCGGGCCAAGCGGAAGGTCTGCCCCCAGATGTGCTCCAACATTGCCCCCTTCTCGCAGGTGGGCTGCCAGTTGGTACTTCAAGGCATGCTTGTCTGTCTTGAGATGGAGCTGAAAGTTTGCCTTCAGCTGGGTGCCATACGCGCAGAGCCTGCATCGGTGTAAGTCGCCGGACACCTCCTTCCACTCAGCCTCGGGCAGGGAGCGTGGTACGGAAGCATGGCGTAATAGCGCTTCCAGGCTATCGGTGCTGAACGCTTGGCACACCAGGCAGCCAAACAATCTCTGGGGGACTGCCAGGTCCGATCCAGAATGGGGTGGCAATGGGGAAGGCGTGGTGGTTTCCGGAGAGAGCGATGCAGGGGCTGAAGGAAAAAGATTGGGTGAAAGAAGTAAGTGAGGGGTACAGAATGTATTTGGATAGAAGGAAGGACTAGAGAAGAAATAGATGCTACGTGAAAGGAAACCCAACTCTATGTTGAGGTGCCAACCAACATCGCCCAAAATCCTGTATTTTGGGGGATTGGTAGGGTGAAAAATAATTCCTGATCAATTGGTATTCCTTCTGTCTTGGATTTTTAAGGGTACTTGGCCCAAGGTTACCTGACAAAAGTTAAATTTGGCTATTACCACAATTGCCCACAAAAATGTTAAAAGATCTTATGAAAAAAAGAAAAGAGAAGATGAAACCAGTACATAAAAAATTATCAGAGCGAGGAAAAGGGATCAGAAGCCATAGAGAATGTGGAGAAATAAAGGCCAAAGATTTGGTGTGGCCTGTTTAACATCAACAGGAAAGTAGGAAAAGCTGGTTTCCCCTTACCTGACCCCAAGGCGGCTATCTTCCTGCCAGCTGCACTGAGGTGTGTGAAGCCTCCGTTGAGCAAGAGTTGGGTTTGCTCCATGGGCTTATCGCTTCGCAGGCCTGGGTTGCCCCCGGCATGAGCATGATGGGAATGTGGGTGATGGGAATGCCCGAGGGTCTGTGCCCCGTAGAACTGGAAGAGCTCGGTCTGTGCTTTGCCTCCGGGTGGGGCCTGGGGTTGCCCCAGTAGCCCCGGCAAGGCCAAGGGCAACCCCTGATGGAGCAAGAGCATGTTCTGCATGTGCTTTTCGGACGTCATGTGGATCCGCAGGTTGCGAGAGATGTTAGTCTCATAGCTGCAGACCTTGCATTGCCAGGAGGATTTGCCTTTTGATTCCTTCTCATCGGGGGAAGATGGGGAAGGGGCCACCGGCGGGGGCGCCACCACCGAAGGGGTCCCGCCTCCTCCCGTGGCCTGGTAGCCCTGCAGGTTGGCTAAATGCTTATCGGACTGCATGTGGATGCTGAGGTTGCCCTTGGTGGTGGTGGAATAGTTACAGGCCTCACAACGATAGGGTTTGTAGCCACAGTTGTAGCTTTCACCCCTGGCCAGGCGGGGATGTGCCCCCCCAGTGCTGCAGTACGAACAATGGCTGTTGTTCTCCGGGTGTTTCTCTTTCATGTGCACGTCCAAGGTTTGCTGGTACTTGTAATGCCAGTTGCACTTGGGACATTTAAGAGTCTTGCAGGAGTTGCGCGAATGCAGCAGGGACATGTGGCCAGATAAGCTCAACCCAGAGTAGGCCATGGTGGTAAAATCCTCACCAAAGGAAAGGCTGGGTCCTCCATTGTGACTGTTGTTGCTTATCCCATTGTTGATTTCAAAGCCAATGCTAGAAATATCATTGGCCAGCCCAACACTGCTGGCAGGGAGGACCAAGTCATCTGTTGCAATATTTTGGACCAACCCAGTTCCACTGGCATCGGTGTCATTGGCTAGGCTGTTACTAATTTTGGTGGTTGCTCCGGTGTCGCTGACTTCTTCGTCAGCTAATTCCGCATGGGTGACCTCCTTGGTTGACCCAAACTCTGCAGGTTTATTGGCAAACTCCATGCTGACTTCTTCCTTAAGTAACCCAATACTTGCAATTGTGTCAGAGGCGTTGTCCTTCATCAAAGGTGTTTCTGAGAGGAGGGTGTTGGCACCCATGGGTGGGCTTTGGCCATTTGAGCTTTGGTCTGGAAGAAGTCTGTCCTCTTCTTTGTGGTTTTCAGCTGCCAATGCTGTTCCTGCCTCCTCCTTCTCCTCCTTCTCTTCTTCTTCTGGTTTGTCCTCCTCCGTGCCCCCCTTGGCCCCGTGCTCGCCGCCGACCCTTGAATCTTTGGCATCAGGTGGCTCACACTGACTTTCTGGGCTCTTTGTCTCTTCCTTCTCCTCTTCCTTCTCTTCCGTTACATTCACCCATCTGCTACACATTCTGGCATCGAGGTCTGCCCTGATGGTGGGGTTATTTGGTTCTAGGAAGCCAAGTGTGGTACCCTGGAACACAGCAGAAGCCTCTCTGGACAGGGCCTGGCATTCGTTGGTGCTCAGCTGCACCGCATGGGCTGCATGGGCATGAGTTGCCAAAGAGCGACCCTGACGAAAAGAGAGGCGGCATATTAGGCAAAGCCAGATGGGCGTCCCTGGTAGCTCCTCTTCTTGGCCAAGGCTGGCTTCCCCTTTGGGGTTTTCCTCATCCTCCCCATGGGCGGTGGGGGCATCTTTGGGTTTGGTGGGAGCGTTTTTGGCAGACGTGGTTCGAGCGGCATGCCCGGTCAGTCGGTAACTGTAGAAGGCGCCATGAGGAGTCCACTCGCCTGGCGCTGAGGTATTCTGGGACATTTGGTCAGTAGACATAAAGCCTTGGTTAGGGCCTCCACCGCGCTGGATGTGGAGGATGGACACTGGGGGAGCCGTGGTGCTAGGGGAGCCCTTTGGTAAGAGAACGTGGCCGCCATTGAGGAGATAGGCCGAGCCTTCGGCGGAGAAGAAGAGCTGGGCCTCGCGTCCACCATCTTCTGCTTCATCTCCACCTTCTGCTTCTTGCTTTCCCCCTTCTTCTTCTTCTTCAGGGGACGTTGCTTGTGGGAAGGGGGACTGGTTACGTGTCGCCGGGCCACAGTCCGCGTGGAGCTGTGGGGCGGGCAAGATAGCTGCCGGGAGCTTCGCGGAGCCAAGCGTTGCTTGGGAAGTGGAGCAGGGCCTCATGGTTTCGTCAGGAGAAGGGGAGGCGGAGGAGGAAGGGTCCGCGAGGAGGAGGGGGGGTTCTTTGGTGGCTGGAGAGGCAGGAGAGCCCTGAGGGGGCCGAAACGTGGCCCTGTCATCCTGCCCGTCGACTGGAGGGACAGCAGTGGAGGAGCAGGAGGAGGCAGGATTAGAGGAGGCGTCCATGGCGGTGCGGGCACGAGGGGCGCGGGGGGGTCATCTCAGCACAGGAGCCGAGACCCTGCAGAGGACAGAAATAGAAAGACAAACCTGTGAGTTTTTGTGTTGCTCTTTTTCAGGGAAAGACAATCTCACTCTACCTCATACACCTTTGGGCAGAGACGGCAGAGGATCTAGTGAACGTCTAAAAATTATGGTTCGACCAAATCTGTGAAATCGTAAGTCCATGCACAACTTGATCGCCCTTTCCCTGATGCGCACAGACAAACCATCTCCCTCAATAAAAGTTGCCTTTGCATTTTCACTAATGGACATAATTCTTTCTGCAGACTTTACCTTCATACTTTGCTGTTTTGTACACTTTTTGTTTGGCTGAAGAGCTGCGTTCAAGGCTTCAGAAAAGCAAAACTGCTTTTGTTGGGGTTATCAGCTCAAGACATATAAATTGGGTAAGACCACCTTAAAATGTTAACTGAATGGCCTCACACAGCCTTATCTGAAAATGATGACCTCAGTTCTTCCCAGACAGTATTCAGGATGTGTTATTCATACATATTGCTCACCCTTTGTAGGCTACACCTTCAAGAAATATCCTTGCCATACATATGAAGAAGTGATTGCAGATTTTAGGAGGATGATAGCTCCATGACAGGGCACTGGTTTCAGATGGAAAGGATACCAAGATCAGTTTCCCACTATCTATAGTTCAAATGATCCAGGAATACATGATTTCAGAGACTTTTCACACCTAACTCCAACAGACAAGAGTTCTTTGTCCCACCCTGGTCATTCCGCAGATATATAAACCCATTTTCCTAGTTCCAACAGACCTCACTACCTCTGAGGATGCTTGCCATAGATGCAGGCGAAACGTCAGGAGAGAATGCCTCTAGGCCATGGCCATATAGCCCGAAAACCTACAACAACTCATAGACTTTTCTTTGCCACATTCCTTGGTTCAATCTGAGTAGTCAATCATATGCTAAGAGTGCATCTACATTGTAGAATTAGTACAGTTTGATGCTACTTTAACTGCCATATCTCAGTGCTATAGAACCAGAAGCTGTAGTTTGGGGAGGCACCAGCAAAGTGTCAACCTTGTGAAACTACAACTCCCTTGAGTCCATAGCGCTGAGCCATGGCACTTAAAGTGGGGTGAAACTGCACTCATTCTACAATGCAGATGTACCTTTAGTGAAAAAATAATCTGAACTTTCAGCTTGGAAAAAAACTTTTTTTGGGTTCTGCAGCTTCCAAAGGAACCAGCACAAGATTCTAAAGAAAGAGCTTTGATGGATCTAGATTTAGAACACAGCAGATCTTTTGCATGCAGAAGGTCATAGGTTCATGCCATCAAGTCTCTGCTTTTGGTGGAGCTTTTACACATACGCAGCCACGCTTCATCAAGGAAAGTGGAGCCACGTGTGAGCGGAAGAGTCCTGCTGGATCAGACCAAAGGGCATGCTGTTCTCACAGTGGCCAACTACTTGCCCTTGGGGAGCTCAACAGCAAAACAGAGCTACAACGAAATCCCCCACCTTCATGCTCTCCAGCACCTGATGTACAAATGCCAGTGGCTTCTGTCACTAGAGAGAAGGAGGATTAACAGGGAAGTGGCCCATATTATTGTTTCTTGCAGCCAAAACCACAAAGAGTATCACAGCATCTTAAAGGGCTTTGCTGGAATGGGTCTTCAAATCTATTCTGACTTATGGTGACCCTTCTCCTGGGGTTTTCTTGGCAAGATTTCTTCAGAGGCGGTTTGCCACAGCTCTCCTCTGAGACTGAGAGAGTCACCCAATGGATTTTGTGGCTGAGCAGGGAACCGGATCCTACTCCAACTCTCAGTAACAGTCTGACACTCAAAACACTACACAAACTTTCTGAAAAGGCTAATAAATTGTATTTGGGATGGGCTGTTGCAAATTATTTATTATTTAGGTTCTTGTGGGTTTTTTCGGGCTATATGGCCATGTTCTACAGGTATTTTCTCCTGACGTTTCGCCTGCATCTATGGCAAGCATCCTCAGAGGTAGGTTGCCATAGATGCAGGCGAAACGTCAGGAGAAAATGCCTCTAGAACATGGCCATATAGCCCGAAAAAACCCACAAGAACCTAGTGATTCCAGCCATGAAAGCCTTCGACAATACATATTTATTATTTGTTTATTTACAACATTTCTACCCCGTCTTTCTCACCCCAGAGGGAACTCAAGGCAGCTTTACACACAGGCAACAATTTGATGCCTTACAACACAATGTACATTAAAAACAATTAAAACATTTAAAAACAATACATTCAGAGTTAAAAACATAATCCACGAGTGTAATCCAGGCCGTTCCAATGGTCATTTCACATTGTTCCAAGTCTATCTATTGCACAAGTTCTCTAAAGGCTTGGTCACAAAGCCATGTTTTCACTCTCTTGCAGAATGTCAGGAGGGAGGGGGCTGATCTAATATCCCCAAGGAGGGAATTCCACAGCCGAGAGGTCACCACTGAGTAGGCTCTGCCAATTGTCTCCGCCAATCGCACCTGCGAGGGAGGCGGGAACAAGAGCAGGGCCTCCTCAGACAATCTTAAGCTCTGAGATGGTTCATAGGGAGAGATCCGCTTGGACAGGTAAGCTGGGCCGGAACCATTTAGAGCTTTGTAGCTAAAGCCAGCACTTCTAATTGTGCTCAGTAGCAAATTGCCAGCCATTAAGAGGTCTGTGATCCACAAAAACCTAAATTAAAATGAGGTAGTTTTAAGGTAACACCTCTTATTGCATTTGCTGCACCTGGTAGCCTTCATTGGCCCTGTTGACATGGATTTGCCTACTATCCCCTATAAAACTGTTCATATGGACTGCTATCACTACATGATTTGGTGATATCATTTTGACCAAGTATGGTGCATGTATGCATGAATGCCAGCGTGGCATAGTGGTTTGACTCCAATCCTGGAGACTAGGCTTGGAGTCCCTGCTCAGCCTCGATAACTCACTGTGTAACCTTGGGCAAGTCACATTATCTCACGAGGAGGCAAAAGCAAGCCCCTCTGAACACAACTCCCATGATAGGATCACCATTCAAAGAACACAATTCATAGAAATCAATGGGCAAGTCACACTCTCTCAGAGGAATGCACTGACAACTCCCCTCTGAGCAAATCTTGCCAAGAAAACCCTCTGTTAGGTTTGCCATAATTCTGGGCTTGAAAGCACATAACAATAGGATGTCCTTCCTTTTTAAGCTCATCTAAATCACTTTTTAATCTCATCTTTTAGAGATGAGCCCCAGATTCTAGTACTATGACAGCACAAGCCAGCTCCAAATTAGGAAAAAGGGGCAACTGTGTAGGAGAATGAGAGGTATTACTATTTGTCTGATCAGGACAAGGCAACTGAAAAACTGCCAAAGCTTCCTCTTCCCTCTGAGCTAGGGATGGATTTGCAATGCAAATAAAAAAGCATGTTGGCAGCTGATAAAGTGTGCATTTGTTACCAGTGTGTGTGTGTAACAGAGAGAAAGAGGCATCCACCCAGCAATGAATAAGTACCACAGAATATATCTGTCCTCCAACATTGTGTGCATCCCATATGCCCACAAACCTGCATGTGCTTGCCACACCCTTCACAACTTCCCATTTTAATTCTCTCGGTCTACTCCCACTCAGGACTTTTTGCTGTGGTCCCTCTGAGCATACAGAGAGTGCCTTTACCTCACTGCTTGGAAGTCAGAACCAATTCCATAAATAGCTGAAATTTGGGGGGAGATGAAGTTTGCAAGGAAAGGGTAGATTTTCCATTGTGTAATGGTTTGAGTGTTGCATTGACTTTGTGGAACAGAGTTTGCATCCATGCTCAGCCATGAAAACCCACTGAGTGACCCTTGGGCACATCACACACTCTCAGCCTCAAAGAACCCTGTGACAGGTTTACCCTAGAGTTGGAAATTACTTGAAGATACACAACAAAAACTAACATAAGAGAGTGAAACCTGTTTGTGTTGAGGCAGGAACTGATTGTTACCTGTTTGCATGACAAATAACACCTGCTGAAATAATTTTACGCTGTCCTTAAAAGTCCATTTCTTCCCAGTTTCCACTCTGGGAGACCCATATACAAACCAATGTCAAGATCTCTAACTTTTTCCAGGTTTGCCTTTGTCTTCCTCTTGAGGTTGAGAGAGAATGACCTGTTCATGGTTGCCTAACGGATTTCCATGGCTAAGTAGAGATTCAAACTGGTCTCCAGAGTCATAATCTAGCACTACACTACTGTTATGCCCACTGCTGGAGCTGTTGGCACAATGGGTTAAACCCTTGTGACCGACAGGTCAGCGGTTTGAATCTGGAGAGTGGGTTGAGCTCCCTCTGTTAGCTCCAGCTTCTCGTGTGGGGACATGACAGAAGTCTCCTACAGGATGGTAAAACACCAAACATCCAGGTGTCCTCCAGGCAATGTCCTTGCAGATGGCCAATTCTCTCACACCAGAAGTGACTTGCAGTTCCTCAAGTTGCTCCTGACACACACAAAAAACTGCCCACTGCTATTGGCCCAACCCAACATCTTGTGGCAGGACATTCCACAGGATAATAATACCTTCAGTGCAAAATACGATACTTTTAGTTTGTCCTTAACTTTCTATCTATACAAATAGGAACAACCACGTATATACCTCATGGGTGAGCAACTGCAATGGGTCTTGACCAAAGGACTGACCAAAAATAACCCCTTATGAAGAAAGCAAAACTGACAATGGTGGAAGTTGACTTCTGGTTTTGAAAAAGAAGGATTTAGAAAATATATTAAACAATAGAGAAGGACTGCAATCTATTGCTCAGTTTGGAGATTTTGAAAAGATGCAATTGCCTCCCCAACTATTTTTTTGAGCCAGATAAATGGCACTCTATGGAGTCAGAGCTTAATGCCACATAAAGGTTTTCAGGACTGACGTTTTGACCACCCAACTAAACCAGTTTCCCGATAATGCCGGGCTTTCCTTTGCCTATCTCTCTGTCAATAAACATCTGCTCCTCTTTGGGAACAATACAACCCATCCATCAAGTCAGGCAAAAATCATTTTCTTTGCAATGAATCTCCCACCATCCTAAACCTGGCAACACAGAAGTGCAACTGCACAATGAAGTGCCCAACCAGGTGGGCCTAGATTTTGGGGGGCATAATCCAACATTTTCCCAAGACTGTTGGGGAGAGCAAAACCTTGGATGCAGCGTCTTTGTCCATTCCTAACCTTACTTGAACTCTTCTCTGATGGATCGCCAGGAATTCCACCTGAGCTTCCACTGAGCTCTCCTTCTCAGACATGACTACCTATCCCAGAATCCC